TTTTTTTTTTTAGTGGTGCGGTGGCGTAATAGTTGGTATGTGGTGGAGGTGATGTGGGTCTTCGATGTGGCTGTTTGTAGGTGCGGTGGATCTGGTGACGGCGCGAGGTTGAGGTGATGTCGATGTATGTGACTCACTGTTTGTCTTTTTTGTTATTGTTGAGGCGGGTCAACGACGATGGTGGTACTTTTTTGTATTTGTGACCTAGCTATTGTGATTCTTTTTCGTGTCTATGATCTTACTATTGAACTGTGACCTTAAAATGATAATTTGTAACTTAAAAAAAGAACCAGTGACCTTAATTTTTTTGATTTGTGATCTCAAAATAATCTGTGACCTATAAAATTTTAAATTTGTGACCTCGAAATAATCTGCAATTTACAAAAATTTTTATCCGTGACCTTGAAATAATTCGTGACCTACAAATTTTTTGATCTGTGACCTCGAAAAAGTCACCGGAGTAGTAATCGGAGCAATGGGGGTGGTGGAGGCGGGGTGGGGTGGGTTAATTTAATTAAATTACAGTTAAATATTTAATTTAATATAATAATTTTGAAATATAATTAATTAATTCAATAAAACCCGATTTTTGCAATTTTAAAATTTGGGACCTGATTTTTAATTTTGGAATAGATAATACCTGAGCTGTGAATTTTTCCCCTATTTGAAACCTTCGCACGCCCCTTTGTTTCTTTTTCATAATAAAGTACATATGCGTTTGGGTTCAAAAATGGGAAAAATTCATAAATAAGGTGTATACTTTATACCAATTCAAAAATCAGGTTTATAATTTGAAAATTCAAAAATCAGATTTTTTTTTATTTTTTATTTATGAAATAATAAATTATCAAACAAATTTATTATTAAATATTTAATTCTAATATAATATAATTAACTCATCCCACATGCACCACTCATACCGCTCCGGAGACTATTCCGGCTACCATTCCGACTACCACTCTTTTTTGATGACTGCTCCGATTCTAGCAATAATTTCGACGACTATTTTGGTAACCATTCTGGTCACAGATTTACAAATTACAGTCACAGTTCAAAAATTTTATAAATCACAATTAATTCGTTGGTCATAGATTTCAAAATTAGTTGGTCACAGATCAAAATTTATAGGTTACACAGTCACAAAATTTATAGGTTAAACAGTCACAAATTTTCAAATAATTAAAAGGGAAAAAAAATTGTTGAATCATCTTCTTCAACCAACCCCACCCACCCACCCACGCAACCCCAAAAATCACCATCCGCCACCACACATACATTTCTGAATCTGAATATAGAAGATGTACAGAGAGCAGATCAGAATCACTTTTGGTAATTCTATTTCTATCATCAAATCATGACAAATGCTGGGTAATTTGTTATTTACAAAACCTGTGAACTCATAAGAATACAAATAAGTGAGCTAAACTGATTTGAGTAGAAAATTGGTGAAAGCAAAACTCGAAATTCCGTCATCACCAAAACCAGCTGCTTCGGCTATCGACGGTTTTAATTAAAGTTGATACCAAGGGCATTCGCCCATACTTGGATGCAAACCAATTCACACAATGGGTCCTGCTTTCATTGTGACATCCCAAGTTACTAATTCTAATCGAACGAATCTCAAATATTTTATAGATATTATCAGCAACGTCTTTGAAATAAATTTGGTGGGGGAGGGAGCGGGAGAGACGACCGGTGGCGGTGGAGGTGGCCAGCGGCGAGAGAGGGGTGAGAAATGGTGAGAGACAGGAGTTGATTTAGGGTTCATTTTTAAAATAAATTTGGTGGGGACAGGTAGTAGGGTGGGTATATACATCCCGTTTGTTTCTGCTAAACAGCAGAATTACTACCGTTGAGAAGGAGAAATAATGCCTTTCAGCCACTGTTGAAGCCGTAATTGTTGACCATGTGTGAGACGGGTGGGGCTCGCCGCCACACCTAACGGGCAAAAAATCACTGTCTTGATGGAGGAAAATTGTTGCCAGACAGGGCCATAGTTTATTTTAATTTTATAATAATATTATTATTTAAAATGATAAAAACTTGATTTTTGATTAAATAAAGTAAAAAACCTGATTTTTAGAAAGTAATATTTAAACAGCTAATTTTTTTATAATTTCCCTTCAAGAATAGCACCAGAGATTTGAAGCTTTGAGATGTGATATTAATTTCTTGGTGGCATTTTATCAAGTTGTAGGCAGTGCACGCAAATGCGCCGTCTAGGCGCGACGAACGGTCAAAACGCATCGAATTCGGGAATGCGCAGGAAAATGCGTTTTCCATCTAAAAGACGGCGCAATGAGCGCACCTAATCCCGCCTAGACGCACCTAATGCGCACATTATGCCGCCCAATATTTTTTTTGGTAAAAAATCTATTTTTTCATATAAAAATATATTTAATACCTTAAAAATACAAAACGCATTATGGCGTTTATTCTTCGCATGACACGCTTAAACTTGTGATTCTTGATTTTCGGTATCGACGCATCGCAACGCATTATGGATTTTAGAACACTGGTTGTAGGTGTGATACAATCAGATGTACTAAACCATATCATTTTATGGGGTTAATAATAATACATGTACATAAGTTCATTATTTAAAGTTGTTCATATTGGCTATTAGTTGTTTAATTTTATATTTTGAACGTGTTCGGTAAAGATTAAAATTGGATTAAATTTTAAAAAACTAGCCGTTATTGTTGATTTTTATGAGACGAGCGAGACCCAATAACGGTTATATTTTCAATTTTAATTGGATTTTAATCTTTACCAAACGAGCACTTTACAATTTACTATTAATTTTTTTTTTTTTAGTTCAAGATAAGAAGATTGTATGAAAAGTGATAAAAGAATAAATTAAAGAAACCCCAACTCCATCATAGACAATATAAAATGAATTTAAAAAAAAAAAATGAACATTTGCATTTTATAGATTAATATTATACATTTCCCGTTCTATAAATTTACAATTTTGATAATGATTTTGTATCCTTAATTTCTTTGGTAGGTTTGTTGGCTTCACCATGGAGAGATTCAACGATGGATTCCACATCTTCTTCGAATCCTTGGACCTGCAATTACACATCAACAATTAGTATTTATAGCAACTTGCTCCCGTAAGATAGAGACTAATTTGAACACACTAAGCTTTCCATTATAAATGATAAGCCTAATTTTCAATCACAAATGCCCGTAGACCTAACATATTTTAATCACACATTCAATTTAAATAATTTAAAATCATTCATAAATCTTCCCAAATATACTATAAGCTATTGAGTTTTGATGCTCGAGTTTGAAAAAAATCAATCTTCTTAGAATTATGATTAGTTCAAATCCTTACATATTAATTATTATTTTTAATAGTATGAAGTGTGGAGATTTTAGCATTAGTCCTGTTTGGTGGGAATTAAAATCAGATTTTTAGTAGTTTTTTAATAAAAATTGATAGAATATGTGGTTAAAACCCCATAAAATATGTGATTTACATTAACTGTTGACTTTGACTTAAATTAAAATTTAGATTTTAATCACATCCATGGCTTAATATTAAGAACCAAAAATGATGGCAGTGTTTGAAAAAAACTAGAGGTAGCTCAGTTTTGTAAAGAACAGTACTACACATACAGATACAGAAAACCTATAGACACTCACAAGGGGGGTGGGTGGGTAATTTTTTTTTATTGTGTGGGACCCACGCTCATGTGAGAGGGTGTAAGTATTCTGTAAAATGAATAGTTCCGTACAAATAAATTAATCCTTTTGTTAAACTCGAGGACCAAATTTTTTGTAAAAATAATATTTTAATGATAATTTCTTTACATCAATATCCAAAAAAATTTTGTTTGCCATTTGCAATTTAAAAAAGTCAAAAAAGGGCCACGTATGCTCAGCCCATAACTGCTCCTAGGATTGGAACAAATTAATATGTTAATGTTGTACGATGAGAATTAACTAAAAGATTTCTTAAAGAATCAAAATACTTAAATTATTTTTTAAATATTGATTAAGGTTCCAGTAATTACCGAACTTTTCTTCTTCATGACTTGGTCAGATAATAAATACTAAGTTTATTTAAAGATTTGTCCAACCTCAAACTTCATTATATTATAATGCAAATTTATTAGGCGAATGATGCTACATTCACAGAAGAAAGATTCACAGAAGTCCTACATAATGCACACAATTGGGTGAGGTCCAATTTTTTTGGCAATATTAACTTCACGCGGCATGTGACTCATCTGTAGAAATTCTGTGAAAATTCATTCTGTACATATGGATTAATTCTGGTATACCTTATGGATAATGTCTCCAAGTAAATGAGCATCCTTAGCTGTTTCTTCAGCCACATTTTCAATAAAATCAACGGCTTTTCTAAATCTCCCTCCTTCGGGAAGGTCATCGGCTATGTCCTCCGCCACTTTATCCACCACCTCCGCCACCTTTTCTACGACTTCTGTTATATGTTCTATCGTCTCGACTGCAGTATCAACTTCATCTGCGAACATTTTTAGCTATTAGAAACACAATAATTGTTTGCAAGCTTGAAAAATTAAATTAAGTAGAATAAGTCTATTAACCTTTAAGTTTCAAAACTGGTCCCCGATTGTTTGTCCCGAAGGGTAGAACTATTGTAAGTAGTATTCCCAGGATCCAGCTTGTCCTGAATAAGTTTAGTAAATTCATATGTAAGGTAGAGCATCTGAAGTATTTAATGCATGAATTCTCGTGCATGTTTGGTGCACAACAACACAGAATAGATAGCACTAACGGAAACATAGAAAAGTTAAAATCTCATTTATGAAAATTTTATGCGCTGGTTAGAGTTGCATGTGAAGGGGGCGTGTACTCGTACCTTTTATTTCTATTATCCTCGTGCATTCCAGAGTACCTGCGGCGATATTGAGATCCCAAACTCTGCTTACTCAAGAGAAGGCATGGCTTCTTGTGTAATATGGAATTGGAACTAGAAAAAGTTGGAAACGGCTTGAGATGGAGGGTGCTAGTCGAAGTGTACAATCTTGTCTTTGACAAAAGAAATCTTGCCATTTACACAACTCAGTTAATGCACTTATCTTCGTATTCGTACACAATTTCAGGTTAGATATAACAAAGTTAGATATAACAAAGTCTATATATAGAGAGAGAAGGTCTGCATTTTAGGAGGTAACTTAAAGTGGCAGAAAAGGATATATTTCGGGGAAAGTTCCGCAGACGATGCAGAATTGAGAATCTTGCAGATAGAAGAAACCAAAAGAAAAATAAATAAATAAAAAATATATCGCCATCTTTGAATAATGTTTTTGTTCTTATCAGCAAGTACCTGCAGGATGACTTTTCAACTTAAATTCATTGTGTAAAACATGTTCAATGAGGAATAACTGTGGGGGTGGGGTGGGGTGGGGTGGGGTGGGGTGGGGGTAAAATTTTAAGTACGAGTGATATCGCATCTTGTCAACTCTCATTTTCCCCTAATTTTTTAGGCGATGTACTACTTGTTATAAATATGAAATATTCTATTGGAGTTTTTAACAAATTCTCTCTTCCTTAGAATGTCGAAGCAATACTAACGATTTCACGACCCCTAAGTCCGAGTTGGCTTTTTTCGTTATACCTCCTGGTTGGAATCTACATATAATTATATATAGGTCATTATAGAAATTATAAATAATAAATACATTTATAATTCACCATTTATTATGTACATGTAGCACAAACGTCTATGAAATATGTTGTTAAAAAATAAATTGTTGACTTTGACTTTGATTAAAATTCGATTTTTAATTTCTATAAAAGAGGCGTTATGTTTCATTTTTCAAAGTTGGTTGAATCGCCACATTTTGATAGAAAATGAAGTAGTATATACTTATTTATTCTTATATTCATTCAGGCTATTTACCTTTTTTATGGGTACATCCATTTTAGCAGGTTCATGTATCGTTTTCATGTATGAAAAATAATTAAGGTTTCATCACATCCACCACCACGGCACCACCACCTCTCCGGCTCCCATACTGAGGCTATTGTTTCCTAAAATAAGTATTTTAGTCATGATAAGTAATACCGCTCAAAAGCAAAGAGGCAATACAGTGACTAGCGTTGATTACAAGGACGATGGGTGGTGGTTTTAGAGGGGCCGGTGCCGAAGGCGGCTGGTGTTTTCTTATTTTAATTTTTAATGCTTATGTTTTGTGGTAGGTACCATTTTCTTTAGACTTTTTGTACAATCCAAACTGAGGTTCTTGTTCCCCCCTACCCATCCCCCTCCCCGGCACCTGCCATTAGCTCACTTCTTCATTCTTTGATTGAGCGTAGCACCTGTATGGTCTATTTTTCTCTTCTGCAGCTTTCAATTAGACTTCGTCATGTGTTGTCTGTAAAAAAAATCATGTGATTAAGCCTATAGAAATAGCACGATTCTTTACGATGTGTATTAGGTATTTCAAATTCTCACGTCATCGAGCCTGTAAAAGCAGCATGGTAAATGTGGTTTTGACTGAAAATAGATGTCATATTATATTTGCTCAAACATTTCCCACGCGATCGTATTTTTGGTATTAAATAGTCATAGTACCTCTCTCAAGAGTCTGAGATGATCTCTTCTATTTTTCACTTTCTTCAAGTAGACATACTGTCTATTAGTTGTTTAATTAATAAATTTAAGTTTTATATTCAAAAATTTTAAAAACAAACATGTGGAAATGAATATGATTTAATTTATATATATAGTTGGTCTTTATTTTCTGTACCTAGTTATTTCATGCTTACAGTTGGCTTTAAGTTAATTATGTTGGAAAAAATTTGGGGTGGCAACCATATTGAGCGGTTTGTCAAAAAGGGGCAATCGAGCTGAGCTGCTCGTCGAAAACGAGCCACGAGCCTCTCGGGCTTGTCAAAAAGACGAGCCTGAGCACATGAGCTAGTCCAAAATCGAAGGTTTCTCTCTCTGTTTTTTAAAAGGTTTATCTTATATATAAAAAAAAATCGACGAGCTCGCAAGCCAGAGCTTGGCTCGGCCTACGAGCCACGAGCTCGACCCGCGAGTAACGAGCCACGAACACGAGCCGAGCTCGTGTGCGTATGGGCCGAGCCTAGCCCCTAGAAAAAAACGAAGTTGAGAAGTACCTCCATATAATTATTAGGGTTATGCTATATGTACACTCAATTTTTTACATAATCTTTTACCTACACTTACAATAGGGTGTGGGGATCACATTTGAGAATTTTTTATTCACGTGGGCCCCGCGTGTATGTGTGAAAGTGGCACATTTTCGGTAACTCCCATTCGATACAAATAGAATTATCCTAATTATTATATGGAAATTTGTATCAAATTACAATATTGCAGTTTCCGCAAAAAATAATTAATTAGAGTATTGATAAATGATAAATTTAAGAACCCCAACTTCCTCCCAAACTATAAAATCTCCTTCAACTAAAAACAACAAAGAATATTTATATTAGACACTCTCCGCCCTATACTTTTTTTATTTTTACAATTTTGATAATCATTTTTCATCCTTAATTTCTCTGGAAGGCACATTGGCTTCACCACTGAGAGATTCAACAATGGACTCCACATCTTCTTCAACTCCATGAACCTAAAATTACACTTTAACAATTAGTAAATTCAGCAACATGATATCACAATATGGTGACTAATTTGAGCTTATTAAACTATTGAGTCGTGAGGATCTATCTTGAAAAGTCATTCTTTTTATAAAAAATTAAATTAATTCAAATCCTCATATGTTGATTATTATTTCTAATATATATTAAGCTATAAGGGGATCTTGAATAGCCCTTGCGCATATTTGAAAATACTAGGGGTGGCTCCGTTAGGTTGAATTCGAGGACAAAAAATGTAGAAAAATAAATAAATAAAATTAGGCGATGAAATTTTTAAATCGATGTCCATATAACTTGGATATTATTTCTCACATCAATGTGAAAAAAAAAAAAGAAGGGTACTTTTCGGGTCACCCATAACTGCTCCTAGGATTGGAACAAATCATAAAATGTTAATGCTGCATCTAAGATGAGAATTAACTGATATTTTCTTCAAGAATTAAAAAAGTTAAGTCATTCTTTATTATTAGTCAAGGTTCTATTAGTTAACCATCTTTTTAGTTAAGCTAATGACTTGATCAGATTATAAATAGTAAGTTTGGTTAAAGATTTGTCAAACGCCTAAACTTCATTATATTTTAATGCACATTAATTAGGCATACCTTATCAATAGTATCTCCAACTAAATGAGCATCCTTAGCTGTTGTTTTAGCCACATTTTCAATAAAATCAGCTGTTTTCCTAAATCAAGACTGACTAAGTTGACAAAAAAATAATTCAGATTATATATTCAACATAATTTACATCCAAAACATTTTTTAATAATATAAATTCAACATATTTTACATGCACATCTTAACATTTTTAGTTTCATGCGTGGAATATATTAGTGGAGGCTAAATTCAATTTTTGAGCATTTGGAATTTTCGCACTTTTCAAGGGTCATAACGGTGCCAATCCTAGCAGCCCCATCCCGTCTCGTAATCAATAGGGCCCTCACACATAGCCGACGGACCCCCTTCCAACCCACCAAGCAACGCCTGCTCTCCAACTCTTGCAATGCTTACACTAGATCTAAGGTTGCCACTTGAGAACTCCCCCTCCCACCACAAGCACTCGAATTTGAAGTCATTAAAGTGATAAAAATATGAAGGGAAGATGAGTGGAAAACGATTGAAGAGTCGGAAATTACCTAATTGAAGGAATAGAACGCTCTATGAACGTGAGATCCCCTGAGAACAGAAGTGGTCGGAGAATTTTAGAGTGCAGAAAAGATTCAGGAATTTCACAAAAGTAAAAAACCACAAAAATGGAAAACTTTGGCTTTTATAAGTGAAGACAATAAAGCACAACCATCAAATTTAGATCCAGTTAATCTAAAGCATCCATTTGCAACTTAATTTGAGAGTTGAATTCAAATGGTTTTTATCATCTACACTTCGGATTAATGCATGTATCTTAAGCACACACTTTAGCGTGTTAGCCTCAAAACGTGGCAGTATGGCCATCATTACGCATTCAATACAACGGCTAATACGTGTATTGGAAGTCGAACCTCTTAAGTTGTATTTTCTTGATAACGTACAAAACATCAAATCATTGACACGAGTATCAGGCGCACTTTGTTTTCAATTTAACAAGGAGCTTCAGCAGTTCCGCACTCCACTGCTTCGGCTCATAAATCACATTTCAGCTACTTTCAATTTAAACAAGGAGTTTCAACAGTTCATCACTCCGCTGCTTTAGCTCATAAATCAAATTTCAAATACTTTCAATTTAAATAAGAAGTTTCAGCAGTTCATGAAAACAAGACAACTTACGAGGTTCAAGTTACTATATCAAATTTGAACTATAATATTCACATCTATAATTGGATTTGAAGGACTAGTGTGATGTATCAAAAACCTTACCATGGTGCAAAAATGTTCACCCCAACAAAGAAACATTGTGTAAAATAGAAGTCCACGCATAACATGAATAATCACATATGGACTTGGGGAACTATTGTTACGTTTCGCTACCGAATCTCCACATGGAGCCTACATGGCAACTCAGGTGGAGTGGCACCCTACACGAAGCTCCTCTTCGAAGCGCCAAGCTCTCTAGCCGAATTGGTGATATTAGAAAATGAAATCAAATCTGAGACCCTACCATAGACTATGAAAACCCACCTCCTTCGAAGATGTATTGATAAAATCCTATTCAAATAATTGATACAACCAATGTAATGAGTGACATTCTTTTTAGCTATGTTGTAGGGTGGCTACCCCCTTTTTAAGAGCATTAAATGCATTTCAAGCTAGCAGAGTCCAATTGATGCCCAAGATGATACTTTGAAGATTACTATGCGACAATTTGATGGAATTAGAATTCAAAAATGAATGGAATATGATCAAAATATTATCAAAATTAATTTTCAATCACACAAGTTATATCCAGATTTTAGTCGAAAATTGAGATCCATTTTTGGCGTATTAAAC